CCCCCAGTATCTCCCCCTCATGCTCAACCACATACCGCAGAAACGCAAGCAGACCAGCCCGCCCATACCCCCGCCGCTGACGCGCCTTGTCCGCAATCATGAGCTCGATCTCCCCAACGATCTCCGGCGCCGACGTCCCGTCCTCCCCATCCTCAACCCGGAGGAAGAGGTTGATGTCGCCGAGCATCTGCCCGGGAGCATCATCTTCGTTTGTGAGCGGGCGTAGCCCTAGCCCTGGCCCTTGCCTCTGCTCTTGACTTTCGTCTTCGCCACCAGGCTGAGCCGGGGCAACAGGCAAGCAGAGGATGAAAGTAAGCTTGTCGGCGTCCCGGCGCCAGCTGCGCTGCATGGCGTACTCCTCTTCGAGCGTGAGAGGCTCCGAGGCGGTGGCGGCCTGGATTTCCTGTTTCTTGTTTAGCATGTGTTGCGCATGAAGTAAATAGAGAGATGAAATACCTCGTCTTGCATCCATTCGTGGTAGCGGGGGACGTGCCAGCTGGAGTAGGGGACCAGTAGCACTTTGGAGGTGGAGATGGCTGTTCATCCTCCGTTAGTTTTTTTTGTCGTCACCAGGTTGGGGTATTTTATGGTGCGGACCGGTTTTCGCGTTGAGGCGCATGTCTACGGAGTATTAAGATTTGGAATTGTTTGTCGGAGTCTTATGTCTATATTGGCTGCGCCTGCAGCTTTCTGGCTTTTTGCTTTGACCGAATGATCGATAGTACTGGAGTGGTGAGGAAAAACTATGACTTTGCCCGGGTCTTGGCGCTGTTGATGTACAAATACCTGGAACTACGGAGTCCAGTTATCTCGGAATTTTGCATGGCAATGAGGTTCTATCAGATTGTAGTTATTGTTTCTCTTGCTTTCCTGCAAAAGCACCGAATTTGACTACCTCGACCTCCAGTGTCTCGCTATCCACGAGTATCAACTGCCCGGTCTCGTTGAACTTGGGAATCGACAGCAGACGGACACGCGCACCAGTATTATCGGCTGCGTCGGTCATCTCTGCATCAGCTCCGTTAAGTTGAAGGGGAGAGTCGCCTTCCAACACCGCCGTCTTGAACCGAGGCTGATTGCCCGCGAAGAAGATGTGCGGACAGGACTGCATTACAAAGGGGTCATTTGTCTGGAACGGATAGGACCCTGTAGAATAGTCAGTACTGGATCGAGATCCGTTGCAGATAGGAACGTACACAATGTATCAGGGGCGGTGGGAACTCCACATCTCCACCGGAGCATGGCCTCCATGATTCGCATCCTGGCCTCGATGTCCCCATCACCCGCTTCCAGCGCATCCTTGTCTGCAAAGTCCAGATACCGGAGGACATCATCCACGTTCTGTCCACTGCTTCCCCACAGCCGCCATCCCTCGACATCTCCTTCCCATGGGTTTGTGACACTGTCGAACCAGCCCGGCTCGGCAGCTTCCTCGCCGGACGGGGGCGGAGCACAGTATGCTCTAGCTCGTGGAAACATAGCTCGGTGGATCCCCTGCTGAGGGAGTGCAAAGTTCGCCGGATCACTCTCGCCCGGCATGAGAGTCACAGGTATGCTCGGCAGGATCTCCGCGAGGAAGTTGTCTAGTTGTGTGATGGGCGAGGCGTTGTATGCAGAGGCGTCGTATCCATACTTTCTCGGGGCATTCTTCTTCTTCACGGCCGCTCCCGTCTCCGTGCCAGTCGATGCTGCCTCGGCCGTCACATTAGCCCCAAGTGAGTTTCCGGCAATGATAAGCCGTGTGATTGCAGATGCATCCGACGTCGAAGGGCTCTTCGTTCCCCCCAATGACCCTGTGTACCCAAGAAGATAGTCTGTCAGAAGTTCCAGCGCAAGAGTGTCACTCGATGTCCCCGTAATCCCGAGACCACTCACAAAGGCGATCTTGCCCTTGTGCGGCTCTTTTCCATTCATTTTGTCTTCGTTTCGCTCCCACCGACGAGGCTGCTGAGGCAGGCCAGGCACTCTGATATCGATGGTTTCAAAATCACCATTCGCATTCTCCGTCCCCAATACAGCTATAATGGCTCCTGTCGCGAGTTGAGTTGATCCCAGAAGATTCCCTGTTAACCGCAGGCGGCCCGACTCGTCTTCTAACATGATTTGAGTCAATTCCGGATGAGCGGGATCCTGGTAAGTGCGAAGGGGCGGAGGGACTAGGGTATGGCTCTAGGCAATGTCAGCGAATGCCTGTAGGCACGACGGACGAGGACGAACCTCTTTGGAAAGATCATCGAGGATATTCGGCTTCAAGGGCATGTCCATGTAGACCGTCCCAGCGACCCAGCAGAGTTCGCCTTGTCGGACATCGAGCACTCGCTCTACGCGACGAGCACGTTCTCCGGCGATCTATCACATTGTCAACAAGTGTTTGCTAACCCACGCCACAAAGACGATCAAGTGCCAAGCATCGACGCGGATGTCATACACTGAATCCTTCCCATGCGTCCATTCCAACCTCTTCCACCACCGGTTTCAGTCGTGCGAGTCGCAAGAAGTACATGTCGCCATATTGTTGCTGGTAATGCCTCTCATTGCCGGAGGTGAGTTTGAAGGTATGAAGTGGGTTGTAGTGGGAGGTTTCGCGATAGACAGGCGAGCATTGTTCGTCACTGTCTCAAGGCAACTGTTAGCCATGATCTGCATCCACTTGAGCATTGAGAAGAGATAGGCGAAAGAGCAGACCTTGGGGGTTGCAAGAACACGTCCTCCGCTGTGCTGGTAGCCATTATTGTGAGCAAATCTCTTATCTTCCAAGATGCTCCCTCTGAGCAATGGAAATGAGATGATTCTTTCCGCTATTCCTCGGTGTAATTGAAATTGAAGAAGTTGAAGCCGAGCTTCGTCATTGTTCGGTTGATTCGAGCACGCGAATCACGCGTCTTTTGGCGTTTCTCCGACGGTGTAATTACAATACCGCATTGGGCAGAACCACCTCCCAGACTACAACCACCCTACGACACCAAGTGCTCACACCACAATCAGGGGTCTCCCAGGAACAGAGGAGATAGAATACTACGAGAGTGTTTTCTTGAGACCTTCTCAAAGGTCGGAACATGTCTTTGAAAATGCCTGATTTCTGGTTGAATGACGACTACGGAGTATACGGCTCTGGGCCATCGTTGCGAATGATCTTGGACCTCCATCAAGAATGGCAGAGATTACTCTGAGACAAACTAGGAGATGAGAGCAGCAATAGTCTAATAGATTCTCACTCGTATGTTTTCTTTTGCGATATGCTGGCTGTTTCGGCCAAAAACGTGCTTGTGTCGCCGAAGAATGCTTGCCAGCGAGTTTGGGCAAAAACCGATGTGCCGCTACTCAGCAATCAAAAACACAGATTTCTCTGACAGAGTATATCAGATCGAGCTTGTGATCTGTAGCAGTGATGAGGTCCTTCATGAGATTGCCATCGGTGACCAGACGTCTTGAATGAACATGGACTGGGAGGTTATTGACTATCGGAGCCCGCAGGCCACGAACGCATTCCGATCTTCATTCCACATACCACATCGTCCATGAGTTAGATTGCATCAAGTCAATCGAATGCACGAGGCCTCGATTGTTTGGCTGTCACCAGATGTCTCCTTCTCTGATAGGTCTGCTCACTCGCAGTTGGATCCATTTCATTCTTGACAATTGAGGAAATCCATTCAAATGAGATAGTCGAGAACTCGAGAATGGATCTACTCATCTCTCATACGTGCCTCTGCATGTCTTCCATGAGTATGACAGACTTCAAAACATTAGGCAGCCCATATCTCGTCCTCCCACCCAGTGGCTGGCCTGGCTTCCTCACAGCCTCAAGACGTGTTGAAAACACCAGACATCGTTTGTCCCATATTCAGGACAAGTGCATCAGGATGAAGATCCTACCGTCTTTCCACCGTCTCCTAGGCAGTTTCCTTACTATCAGTCTGTTGGCGTGCCTCTTTGTGACGGCGTTCAACCTCGACTTCCTCCCGCGCGGTTTATCGACGCGATTGTTCGGACGAAGCCTTCCAGGATCGCTGGTAACAGCTCCCCAAGGTGCAGTTGGGTACTATCAGCCTCCTCCAGGGCCCATTGCCAACGAAGCGCGACCGACAGAGACCTCCCCTCCAAAGGTCTACAAGACGATCACCACAACGATCATTACCCGAGAGATAACGCATGAACTGAGGCAAGCGCCGGTGGCGATGAGGAACTCGTCAGCCCTGCTGTATGTCGGCTCGTTCCTGATCTCTGCAAGTTTACTGATGGAGTCTCCCAGACCCTCGAAGAACGTTGCCGTAGTCACCGGGACTGTGACCAAGACGCAGGTGATGGTGGTAGCTACACAGACGGCTTCCTCCAAAGGAAGTAGAGACGCTACATGGGGCTTAGCTACATTAGCCTCCTCAGTATTGTTGGCTTTATGGCACTTGTGAGAAAGAATAGATGCTCAATACTGCCCCTCTTTTCGTCTATCTCGATGAGTGCAGTATACACATAGTAATCCCTGGCGCCGTGACCAACGACGCCGATCCTTTCCATCCCAGTCTGGTACCTAATAGCCTCTCTTCTATGGCAGTAAGTGGATACACGGACAATGCATGATTCGACAGTCTACTCCGTACTTCTCCTCCCTACGGCTAAGCATAGACAATCAATTCCTTAAATCATCTACTGCTCATGCGGATTATTTCTGTATTCGCGATCCGTGCAGCCCAGCCGCGAATCGCAAATCGCAATGTCATAGAATGCGGGCCTAAACGACAGGCATTTACAACTGATCCAATGAGATGCCGTGTGCACATTACACCTGTAAAACCCTAATAATAATGGTCCGTTCATGTTCCTTGAAGCCCTGCGCGGCCTGCGCCTCATAAGCGATTTTCTCAAAGTTCAACTGCCCTCGAGTTTGGGGGCCAAAGTCTGTCAGCGACCAGCAATTGACTCCAGTGTATTACTCTCTGCGATAACCTTCTAAGCTTGCAAGTATCCCATTCTGGTCAACCATTCTCCCTCTCTATTGTTGTTACTGTTGCCCTCTACGCCCTCACGGCAAGTCTACGTGGAGTCCACAGTCAATGGCTTACGTATTAAGCGACCCAGCCGGGTTTGCGCTTCGCAAGAACGGCACCTGTCTCGATACAGAGGTGGACTGTGGTTTCACCGTTCATCCCTTTCGAGCCTGTTGCCCCGGGGGCTCATACTGTCCAAGCCAGTACAATGTGAACTGCTGTCCGTCCGCCGCGAACTGCACACAGCTACTTGTGGAGTCGCCAAGATGCGCCAATGAGACGTGGAATCTGTACAGTAATTATGGATACTTTTGCTGCGAGCCTGGAACAACAGCCTTCGGGACGAGTTCGCACAGTGATGGTTGCGCGGTGCCGGGGTATACCTTCGATAGCTCTGATACTCTGTTGCCGCTTGTCTCCTCGGGGAAGGGTACGTTGGGCTGAAAAGCCTGCAGAATTTTCAGTTGAATGCTGACGTACCGTTCCAGCATCGGTTGCGACATCAACGTCCTCCATAACATCCACCCCGTCGACGAGCTCTACATCCTCCACATCACCAACACAAACATCGACTCAACCCTCCGAGGCGTCCTCCAAGACAAACACAGGAGCCATTGCAGGAGGCGTAGTCGGCGGCGTAGCGGGAGTAGCCCTTATCGCTATCCTGCTTTGGTGGCTTCTCAGTCGCCGAATGAAACGGCAACCAGCCCTTCACGAGACGCAGGTGGTCCCCAACACGGAGTATAAAAATAATAGCCAGATGGTGAGCGAACTGGACGGTCGCAGTGCCGCGCATGAGCTTGAGAGCCAGGCAAATCATCCGGCCCACGAGTTACCGGCGGACTCGGCATTCCATCGATGATACCAATGAACGAAGGACGAGCGAGAATGGTCAGTTTTGGAGGTACAGACTAGACAGCGATGATGGTCACCGCTAATCATTAGCCTATTTGCCGCATATCGGTTACATAAATCTGACCAACATCCACGAGACTGACAACAGCCGTGCCTCGATAGCCAAGAAGAGGTGAAAACGAAAGAGACGGTAGATGGTAGATGGTACGGAGTAGATGGTTGGAGCCTGTGGGCGCTGCCTCGGTCCGGCTGCTCTGGGCCTCCGCTTCCCCGCATTTACGCAGGCACAACTGCTTCGTCTCCTGCTCTGTCAGTGCTCATATGTGTGCATAATTCTGGAGCTCATGAGAGCTATCTCTGTATATATACGTGGCTAATGAATACTAATTGATACGATCTCTCCGTCTAATTGATCCCTTGCTATCTATTGAACCGTCTCCCCTAACTTTTTCTCAATCTCTAGGCACATTCTTTAACGCAGTTCTCTCCTTCACTCCGTACGATAGCTGTCAAGAATAGGTGATGACCCAAGACAACGCGTACAGGTCCTAAAAGCAACTTGATATCCCATACGACTGTCATCCAAGCTACAAAATGTCCGTCCACACCCCCCTCTGCTCCCTCCTCAACATCCAGCACCCCGTCCTGCTGGCAGGCATGGCTCGTGCATCCGGCGCCCCCCTCGCCGCCGCCGTCTCCAACGCAGGCGGGCTAGGAACCATCGGCGGGCTGGGCTACACGCCCCAGCAGCTCTCCGAGATGCTCACGGAGCTCAAATCGCTCCTCCGCGACAGATCCCTCCCCTTCGGCGTGGACCTGGCCCTGCCGCAGGTCGGCGGCGGCGCCCGCGCCACGAACCACGACTACACACACGGCCAGCTCGACGAGCTCATCGAGGTTGTCATCTCTCACGGGGCGAAGCTCTTCGTGTCTGCCGTGGGCGTGCCGCCCGAGCGCACCATCAAGCGGCTCCACGAGGCCGGGATCCTGGTCATGAATATGGTCGGGGCCCCGAGACACGCGGAGAAGGCGTTCCAGCGCGGGGTGGACATTGTCTGTGCGCAGGGTGGTGAGGGTGGCGGGCATACGGGCGACGTCCCATTCTCCGTGCTCGTGCCGGCTGTCGTGGACGTCGCGAAGCGGTACAAGAGCCCGCTGACGGGTCAGCCGGCGCTGGTCGTCGCAGCGGGCGGCATCAACGACGGTCGCAGCCTGGCGGCGTCGCTGATGCTGGGTGCGTCCGGTGTCTGGGTGGGTACGCGGTTCGTGGCGTCCGAGGAGAGTGGTGCTAGCCGGATGCACAAGGAGGCCGTGGTCGGGGCCCGGTACGGCGACACGCAGCGGACGCTCGTCGTCACCGGACGGCCGCTGCGGATGCTGCCGAATGAGTACATCAAGGGCTGGGAAAAGCGGCCCCAGGAGATCGCCGAGCTGACGGCGAAGGGCATTGTCCCCATGATGCACGATCTGGAGAACGAGAAGGAGGTCGATATGCCCTTCCTCATGGGCGATGTTTCAGCGAGCATCTCGGAGATCAAGCCTGCAGGTGACATTGTGCGTGAGATGGTCCGGGATGCCGCCGCGATGTTGAAGCAAGGAGCGTCGTATACCACCCAACCGTCAAGCAAGCTATGATGTTTTTTGAAACCATGTAATTTACTTGCCTTGAGCACGCATGAGATTTCACCAAATTCGAAACCTGCTATGTTGTAAAAATGGATTTGATGATTGCCTGAAGCTATCAATAGGGTTTTTGTTCATTCGGCATGTACTAGTACAGGAACATATGCAACAAAACAGAACGGGGGCGACTGGCGAAAAAAAACCTCGTGGACGAGGGAACATGTTTTGTGGTATACTGGAGACTAGTTCGGCAGCATGCGACAAGAGGCTCACTTCAAGCAGAAATCACATAAAGAGCGCCTCCATTACGCTGGCTTGAACTATGCTGACATGAACCGTCAGGCGTGAGAGGCTTGTTGGTACCCGTGCCCTTGCAACATGGGAACATGTGCTTTCCTGATATGCGCGACTCAAATCGAATACTCATAGCGAATCGTTTCATATCCAATCTGCTCGACAGGGTCTCACAACTGATATACACCAGAAGCGAAAAGTAATCACCCGCCCTTCTCTGCATAGGCCGCCATGAGACTCATAAAATACGAGGCAAACGAGGCAGTAGGTATAAGTCAGGACCTAAGATCCCATCAGTGGCATCCGTTAATCATGGCTTTGTTTCCGTTCGCTCGCGCTTCCAAAAGGTTGGGCGGCGGGGGTGGTCCAAAGACAGGCTTCTCGGTTGACTGGGGAGCGCTACGGCCGCCGTTGATGTCGTGATCCGGAGTGTCCAATTCGTATTCATCGTCGCTGATGCCCTCGTCGTCTTCATCGTCTTCGTAGTCCTCGTCGTACTCGCTCTCTGTCCCCTCCTCGTCTCCGTTCAATTCGGCTGTGAGGCCCTGCCCACGGCCCTGGGCCTGCATTCGTCGGCAAAGCGCTTCAAGGTGGTGACTCTTCTTTCGCCACTTCTCCAACTCTTCGTGATTTCGCGTGCGTTCCTCGGCCATCTCTAGTATGTTTCGGTTCGTTTGGTCGTGCTTGCGGGTAAGTGTCAGGTTTTCCTTCTCTAACCGTTTAGTCTTCTTCGACATTTCCTCCATCTCTTTGCGGAATGTCAGGAACAGTTCGTTACTGTTGTTTAGTGTATCCTCCACCTGCAACATCATTATTATCTGCTATCGTAATAGAAGAGATGAGCCGGAGATAATGGACGCTGAAGCATACCTGTTTGAACTTCTCAACGTAGATATTCAGTTGGCTGCGCAACTCGGCTTCGGTATGCGAAAAAGTAGACACCTGCGAACTGAGCGCACGACAACGGGCAGCTTCGTTTTCAGCAGCGCGGCGCTGTTCTTCGTACTTGGCAGTCAGGCACTGTATCTCGGCATCTTTGCTGCGCAGAAGCGCTTTATAATGCAACTCGCGCATTTCGAACTTTTCGCCGATGGTCTTGATTTTCGCGCGCAGCCTGTAATGCTAAAGTCAGCGGTAGATTCGATGGTATGTATGACAGTGGACTTACGCCTCGTCCAAGTCGATATCCAACTTTTCGTTGCGAGGGTTGCCTTTTGCTGCCATGACATCTTGAATGTCGTACAACAGAGAGTCGAGTCGTTCGTTCACAATCAGCCGCGCCTTTTTCTCGGTTTCCTCCAGTTTTTTGTTTTCGTCCTGTCGAACACGCGCCTGTCAGACCAACGCTCTTGCAGCTGAAGAAGACGATTCCGCCGAGTCCGAATCAACCCACCTTGACCTTCTTGTTCTCTTTGGTGAGCTCTCGGCAAAGTTTCTCCAGTTTATCTTTCATGGTGACAGTCTTGTTCAATTCCGACTTGCCCTTGTCCTGGTCCTTCTGGAGCTGATCAGCCCGTTTTTTGCTTTTGGCATAGTCGCGATCCAGCTTCTTCATGTCCGCCAACAGTTCGGTGTACTTCTTGTGCACGGTCTCAAGTCTGGTCATGGGCGACTCGATGTTGCTGAGCAATTGGTTCAAGTCTCTGGTGGCCTTCTTGACCTCGCGCTCTGTCGGTATGTACCAGTTAGTGTCAACCACTTAATAGGCATCGTAGCGATCGAAAATTCAGCTGCACAAGGGGGTTTGCCAGGAATAGGCCGCATAACGAACCGATTTCTTGTTCTTGATCTTTCTCCCCAGCAGCATCTTGCTCCAGCTGAGAGATTTTGGCAGCAAGTAGCTTAGACGTCTCATTGGGATCCGCCATCTTCTTCCCCTTGTTCTTCTTCGACAATGCTGCAGACGACATGACCTTCGACTCCTGCAAGAACAGTGCCGAATGGTTGGTGCGATTTGCGGATTCGCTGGCGGTGGTCGCGTGGCCAATCCACGGAAGCCGAAAATTGCGAAGACGGCAAGGTGTGCGAGAAGCGGTAGACCGTTAAATGGGTGGCTTTTTGGTACAGGGCTGCGGAGGCAGGAATTCCACGAACGATCCTTCGAGACAGTGCTCCCCAAGAGGTATGATCGAATCTTTAAATCTAATCGAAGTCACAAACCCACAGAGGACCTATACTAGCGGAGAACCTAGGTGGCCTTCTCTTAAGACTCGCAGAACTCGGTGGATTGGATCTCCACAATCCTTTGCAACCAAGTTCTGCAAGACGATCGAAGACCTTGGAGCAAGAAGATAGGCTGCGGAGTGTTCCCGAGAACGAGAACAGGTCTGCCAGATGAAAGACAGACACACAGGACAGACGCTTTCGAGGACCTTGCCGGGGAGAATGGATCGGATCGAATCGAATCCAGTCGTGAGTGTAGGTAAGAGGGGGGATGCGCACTTGACCGGCACTAACCCGATTTGAAATCTTCAATCTTGGCATCGGTCAAAGTACCTACCTCTGCCTGGTCTGCATTCATATCCTTCGATCTTTTTGGAACTTTTCTACCGTCCGTTTCAAAAGCCTCCGACTGTCAGCTGTAGTTATCCTTGGTCGGATCAAAGTGATTGAGATCCTTTTGCTTCGCCGTTGACCGACCCCCGATTCGCTGCGCTTCCGATCATTTCGGGACCCTAGTTGGGGTAACAGTTCCGTCAAGACACTATCTAGAAGACAGAAAGCTCACGATCCTTTCGACAGCTGCAGCCCGGGTCTCCTTTTCCAGATTTTGCCACGTCATGTTGCGCTCTTTCTTAGGGGCAGGCAAATGCCGAATACCGGTCTCGCAACAGCCCGCCTGCGGTCGGTTGCTGAGAGTCAGCAACACACTCACTCCACGGAGTCAATCTCGACGAGCTGCGTCGACCGTCACTAGTTTGGATAATTTTCCGAATGTCGGAGAGAAACTTCATGGTTTCACTGTCCAGGAGAAGAAACATGTACCAGAGTTGCATCTTACAGCGGTACGGTTAAAGCACGACAAGACAGATGCAGATTACCTTCATGTGGCCAGGGAGGATAAGAACAATGTCTTCGGCATTGGCTTCAAGACCAATCCCCCAGACGCGACTGGCGTACCACATATTTTGGAGCACACGACGTTGTGTGGAAGTGAAAAGTGAGAAAGCATCAGTTCAGCTCTTGCGCAATTATAATTGTGCCTTTAAAGATGGACTCATTACTGATATACTTCGACATTCTAGGTATCCAATTCGCGACCCTTTCTTCAAGATGCTTCCCCGATCATTGTCGAATTTTATGAATGCTTTCACCTCCGCCGACCACACCACATACCCCTTCGCCACCACAAATCAACAGGACTTTCAAAACCTGCTGTCAGTGTATTTGGACGCTACGCTGCACCCATTACTAAAAGAAGAAGATTTCAGGCAAGAGGGATGGCGACTGGGACCAGAGGACCCTCGTGCCATTCTAGCCCAGGGAGAGCAATCCGAGGGAAGCCTGCAGTCAGACGATGTGGTTTTCAAAGGTGTCGTCTACAACGAAATGAAGGGACAAATATCGGACGCCAATTATCTCTACTACATCAAATATCGTGAAAGCATTTTTCCGGCGCTGAATAACTCAGGTGGAGACCCTCAATACATCACCGATTTGACGCACCAGCAGCTGGTGGACTTCTCCAAGCGGAATTACCATCCCAGTAACGCCAAGATTTTGACATACGGGGACATGCCTCTGAGCGCACACTTGAAACAGATCGGTGAGGTGTTGGATGGCTTCGAAAGGGGGCAGGCCGACAGAGATGTCAAGCTGCCCTTGGACCTGAGTCGCGGTCCCTTGAATGTAACTGTTCCCGGACCTATCGACACATTCGCCAGCGATGACAAGCAGTTCAAGACCTCGACCTCTTGGTATATGGGCGACACGACCGACGTCGTCGAGACGTTCTCAGTCGGAATACTGTCTTCCTTGCTCCTCGACGGCTATGGCTCGCCAATGTATCGTGCGTTGATCGAAAGTGGGTTAGGGTCTTCTTTTACTCCCAACACGGGCCTTGATTCTTCTGGTAAAGTGCCAATCTTTTCCGTCGGGCTTACCGGCGTGAGCGAAGCGGACGCACCAAAGGTCAAGACGACTATCCAAAGGGTTTTCCAGGAGTCTCTTTCTTTCGGGTTCAATGATGAGAAGGTTCAAGGCTTCCTTCATCAACTGGAACTCGCGTTGAGACACAAGACAGCTAACTTCGGTATTGGTGTCATGGAGAAAACTCTTTCGTCCTGGTTCAATGGTTCGAACCCTATGAAGGAGTTGTCTTGGAATGAAGTCATCGATGAGTTCAAGAGAAAATATGAACAAGGAGGCTACCTTGAGTCATTGATGCAAAAATATCTCATGAACGATACCTGTCTGACGTTTACGATGGTGGGTACTCCCTCGTATAACAAAGATCTCGATGATCAGGAAATGGTGCGTAAGGAAAAGAAGCTCGGTCAGCTCGTTGAACGCCATGGCTCGGTTGAGAAGGCTCTCTCCGCGCTTGCTGAAGAAGAGCTTCAATTGCTCAAGATTCAGGAAGAGGCGCAGAACGCCGATTTGAGCTGCTTACCCTCTCTGCGCGTTGAGGATATCTCAAGGGAAAAGGAACGCAAACCCGTTCGGGAGTCCAAGGTAGACGATATAGACATCGTCTGGCGTGAAGCCCCAACAAATGGACTCACCTATTTCCAAGCATTGAATTCTTTCGAGGGGCTCCCAGATGACCTGCGATTGCTATTGCCGCTGTTTAACGATTGTGTCATGCGACTAGGCACGGCAGACAAATCCATGGAACAGTGGGAAGATCTGATCAAGTTGAAGACCGGCGGAATCACGACATCCACTCTTCACACATCTTCTCCTACGGAAGTGGGTAAATTTAGGGAGGGCCTACAGTTTTCAGGATACGCTCTGGACAGCAACATTCCAGACATGCTGCAGATTCTCACTACCCTTGTCACTGAGACAGATTTCACCAGCCCTCATGCGCCAGCCATGATTCAGGAATTACTGCGCATGACCACCAACGGAGCTTTGGATGCTGTTGCCGGGTCGGGTCATCGATACGCCCTGAATGCGGCAGCCGCTAGTCTGTCTCGGAGCTTTTGGGTTCAGGAGCAGCAATCTGGCCTAGCGCAACTGCAGGCTACGGCCAACCTCCTTCGCGATGCGGAGAGTTCCCCCGAACGTCTTGCTGAGCTGATTGATAAGCTTCGGTTGATTCAGTCATTTGCTATATCGAAAGGCTCTGGCCTCCGTGTTCGCATGGTTTGTGAGTCCAGCAGTGCATCACAAAACGAGACTGTACTCCAGAAATGGCTGGCAGGACTACCTCGTAACGGGCCACCCACTTCGCCAATTGATCATTCTGCCGTGAAATCGGTAGCTAATAGAGTGTTCTATGACCTGCCTTACAAGGTGTACTACTCTGGACTTGCCATGCAGACGGTCCCTTTCATCGATCCATCCAGTGCACCTCTCAGCGTCCTTTCTCAACTTTTGACCCACAAATACCTCCACCCTGAAATCCGAGAGAAGGGGGGCGCGTATGGCGCCGGGGCCAGCAACGGTCCTATCAAGGGGTTCTTCGCCTTTACTAGCTACCGGGATCCCAACCCAGTGAACAGTCTCAAAGTCTTCCAGAACAGTGGGATCTTTGCTCGGGACCGTGCCTGGTCAGACCGGGAACTTGCTGAGGCCAAGTTGGGCATCTTCCAGGGACTTGATGCTCCTGTGAGTGTTGATGAGGAAGGTGCCAGGTATTTCATGAGTGGTGTTACACATGAAATGGACCAACGTTGGCGAGAGCAAGTGCTCGACGTCACTGCAAAGGATGTCAATGAGGTCGCTCAGAAGTTCCTGGTTGAAGGATCTCGGCAATCCATCTGTCTGCTCGGCGAGAAGAAGGATTGGGCGGATTCCGACGGCTGGGAAGTCCGAAAGCTCTCTATGAACGCCTCAAATGAGCCTGTAATCGACCCCATGGGCCAAGATGGCGCCGTGGCATCTGCTTAAAGTTGAGACGATCTTGCAACGACATGATCTAGACGAACTTGATACCCCGGATCTTCAGCCCCTCTTGACGCTCTGGGGCTCAATATTGTATCATTATAATAACCTTTTCTCATCACATTCGCCGAACAAATGGCTTGTATATAGACATCTTCCTGTACAGTATCCCGACTTCACTCCTTGCGTTCCCTTTCTCCCTTCCCTTTTCCGTATCGATCATTCCAGCGCGTCTCAAGAACAAACCTCGACCCCGTCTTCGATCTTGATCCCCATGATCGGTAGATGGCTGGTCCTCCTGGCTTTTCAAGCCTGGAGTAAGCGCAAGATCAGTAAGAATGTGAACCCACGAGGTACACTTCTTGTCTCCGTTTCTCAGACCCTCCCTGAACTTTCAGCCTACGCAGGGCGGACTAAAAACGCGAGAACATGAATAGAAATGTAAAGAGCTGGTATCACCTACGAGTCAAACTCGATTTCAGATGTTCTGCTTGTATGTTGGCTGTAATTAGTTGATATTTGGATATCGCCTACCTCGGCTAGACGGTGGCTTGTGGGAGCGTACGGTCACCGCGGATGATCAGTAGGCGAGAAGCGATAAACGATCGTCGTCTTTGCATTCTGCAGCGATTTCCCAATTCCCGTTAGGATACTCTTGGCTTATCAGGGGCCTGTTCATCAACTGGCGAATAGATGGTGAAAGGATCTGAATCAAAGAAAAGGGAGGTCTACAGAGTACAGTCCAGACTGGCCCCTTCTCACGTGGCTGGACTCGACTTCAGGCAGTATTAGACCATCAGACATCCCCGGTCACTCCAAATTCTTCTTGCTATCGTTTACTTCAGATGAACCTAAGAAGAAACGTTCCCCAGGCGTAAGGAAAGCGGCCGCTCCTTTGCCTTGGTTAGGTCTTGAGAAAATCATGTTATGCAGCAATTCATGTGTATAGCGCCATGAAGAGAACGGGCTCCATTGTCCTGGGCCCCAAGCCGACAAAGGCATGCGGTAGGTGGAGCCGAATTCTCATTGATTCGATGTAGATTGATTTGCGTTGGACAAAGCTAACGGAATCTTTTACAGTCAATTGTCGTAGGTTGAAGGTGAATCGCGGCGGCTGTCGACCAGAATGGGCCAATTGTACTGACGGTCTTCGAGATGAAATGTGAAGTCGACAGCGCTCCTCCATGTCGTCGCTGTCGTCATACAAACGCTCCATGTGTCTTCAGGCCCAGATCAAATGTACGTGATTATGTATCTGCCTCAATGCTTCTCTAGAAAGTTTGAGAAATCCCCGTGCGTACTGACTGCTTCTAGGCTGCAGCGGTCCAATCAATCCCAGACGGGGCACAAAGTGTGCAGGGTACGCTCGTGTATCATCCTTCATCCCCAGATCAGGATTCTTCATCTATTCTCGGGCGTCTGGAGCGGATCGAGTCACTGCTAGGCATTGGCACAGCTGGAAACATGGCCTCATCGCTGGCCGTTGACTCGGATCCGGAGGAAGAGTCTGACGATGTATCTTCTCGCGGGATTTGGAAAGCTGTTGAGCGTCTTCAGATCATCACCCGTCCGCCTCAGGATCATAATATCTGGTCATATTCGATCGTCACGCGCTTATGGACCTCGTACGTACCCTATAGCTTCTTACCTTTTCTCTTCTCTGTGCTTGAACTGATGTAGATTCAGATTTCTGAACAACCTTCCATTACTTCATTTTCTTCAGGATCAAAGTGCTTTGGTCTCCCCTTCGCCACTCTTGCTTGCCTCTGTTCTCTACGTATCAGCTGTGCATAGCCCTCTAGCAGAGCTTGCTTCGTTAGCAGGCGGATATTTCGCAGCTACATGCAGTGCGATTGCCGAGCTTGTCGTTCCAAGCGCACTGCCTGGCATCTCCGGCTGGACCGGAGGCCATGTCTCTTCATCCTCAAGTGACGAGCATAGGGTGTTTCAGGATATTCTCGGCCTTATTATGGCTAGCCTAAGTTGCGAAGCGTACATTGAAACTACGGACAAGTGGATAGCTCTCGCCTATCGTCTTCTACTAGACCACTGCCCTGCCGACCTGGAAGATGCAACATATGATTGGCGTCGTCTATTTTCGGGCGTTCAGGTACTGCAGTGTGCTTGTGTATGGTCTCAGGCTATGTACTAATGTCTCTAGGTGATCGACATCGAGCATGCCTCCATGCACATGTGCTATCCCCTTCTTCCTAGACAGCCACCCATACCCGCTCTGCAACAGTCGGATAGCCATCAGGAGAGTGCATTTCGCGGTCTCGCACAGATGATGCACCAAGGCCTTAGCCATTTCGTAGGCCGGAAACTCCCCACTATATGGTCCTTCGTGAATGCTAGAGAATCGGATGCCTTACCCTCGGTTGGTACACCTTTTACAGACAAGGATTCTCAAGTTATTCGGCTTTGGGCCAAGAAACTCGATGAGTGGTTGGTTCAATACAACGGGGCGTCGCGTAAGGCATTTCCTAGCTGAACAGAACTAGCGATGGATGTAGCCAACACTGACATATCATGCCTGCGTCCACAGAGCCCTCACCGTCCGACCGTCAAGGTATCTTAATTCTCTTGCAGTACCACCTCCATAAGCTCTACGTTCTATCAATCTACCATCCAGCTCGCGGCTTTGACCTGAGCTCCACGAACATCACCCTGAGCGAACGGCAGGAGCTCCTGATGTCGGCGCGCGCCGTCCTGCGATTGCGGCAGGATGATTCTAGTATATGGTCGAACTGGGATCTAATTGTACGCCTATACTCACCTATCTTGTCGGGGCAAGCCTAACAATCCAGATGATAACCTGGGCAGCCATGCTCCTGCTACGCGGGGTCGAGGACGGAATGACACATCACGATGGTACGATCAGCCATGCGTCGACGAAATCATATTCTAATACGACTTGTTGCAGATCTCCATCTGATCCAAACCCAGCTCAGCAGCTTGAAACGAAGCGACCCGTCTACATTGAGCATTCACGGCATCCTTGCAGATCGCCTTCAGTCAGGAATACAAAGCATGCATACCCCGCCGGACATTGGACCTGGTTTTGCGTTCCCGGCGCCGAACATGGATTATTCGTGGACCATCTTTGATCAGCAGATTATGACTCTGGCCAATCCGCCTTGGCTTTTTGATGACTCTTCCATAGCGCAGCCACAGAAGCTGGTCGAGCAATATCAGTGAGAGTGGTGATAAAGAGCAAGCTCCGTGCCTCCAAGCGGTCATAAAGGTCCTGGACTCCGCAAGCCAAGGACAGAATCGAAAATAGCAGCGTGAGGTAATGGAGATAATATCGGCATTACTGTAAAAAGAGTATACATTGACCGTATATAGAACACAAAGTGTTAGCATATTATTTCTTCTTCTCGAAGCTGGGTATAAAGTAACTGATCGTTAATCATATCGTATAGTACAATTTCAGGGTTAATGCCATGGAACCGGCTCATTGCAAGGAAGTTCCACATTTGAGAATTTAAGCGTTGCTAGCCGCTTTCTTTCTGAAATCGCTGCCGCCAGTATTCCTGGCATTTCTTGGCTTCCAGCCGAAACGGGTCGGGTGGTTCCTTCAGCAAGCGGATTAATCATATCCACTTTGCCCGTGAGAAGGGTGATCCCCGTGGCTGTGGGATGGATCTGGCTGACCAGCAGCTCCCAAGGTGCTGTCCAGGACTTCGATAGGGGTTCTCGGGGAAGCAGAAAGGTCTTCGAACGCACCAGTCGCTGATAGAGAGGAGGGTAGTGGGGGAAAAGGTTCTGTTTGGTGGTAATTCGTAGGCTGTCGCCAGTCCGACTCGCGGCGTGAGACGCCTCCACGGGTAGTTGAAAGGTCATGGGCTTCATTTGACCCTATAGAGTTGTAGTCCGGGGATGTAGAAGGAACATCTGAGACACCAGATGCAGCTTGTGTATAAGATGACGGTGAAGGCTGCGATTGCAGGTGAGCATGAATGGATTCAAAATCACTCGCGACTATCGTACCTTGTCTTTGCTTTGATCGAGGCCACGACTTGCAGCCAATTTTCGTGCAGCAGCCCGTTTCCGAGCTACCTCTGATTCTTCCTCAAGCTCTGCTTGCTCCTCTTCTGTTTTCAAATGCGCCAAGGACGCTGTGCTGTAATCGCGAGTATTCCCTGTGTTAGGACTCTGGGATTCTCGTAACCGACTCTTTTTCTTTTTGGACTCCCTCGAAGCCGAGGTCCCGAAACTAAAAGTTCCGGACATGGACCGTTTCATCCCTGCAATTTTGTCGCTAAGTTGATCGTCCGAATCTAGTCCTGTTCCTCGGCGACTGGCCAACGCCAGTGCAAATTCGTCATCTAGAGGAACCGCATCTTCCTCCTCGTCGCTAGGGATCAAATCCCCTCTCGAGCTCAAGGAGTTCGCGGTCTCACGCGATGACTGCGTGGCACTGCGGTATCGCCCGTTCTTGCTGGAGGATATCTGCTCCTCCGTTTCTTCAGCGGACTCCATGAGGGGTTCATCCTCGGGCATATGCCGGCGCAGCCCCGTAGGATGTTCCTGGAGATCTGCAGCGGATGGTCGATATTTTAGCCCTCGCGCCCCCAGTCTCCAAGGAAAGCGCTCCAAGAACCCCAGAAAGGACGAGCTTGGAATAACAGTCGGATCATTTCGATTATCGGGTACCAAGACACTGCTCTTCCGTCTCGTGCCTCGAGTACCGTAACTCATTTTGCGCTGTCTGCGTGGCTGTTCTGCGCCCCCGCGCGTCAAGCCGCTCCCCGCCAGCAGCCGGTCGAGTTCGTCCGTGCCCCATCCGAGCAAACTGTCGTTGGCATCATCATTATCCCAATCATCATAAAAGTCAAAGCTGGCTTCCGCACGTCCCCGTCTCCGACGTCGAAGTTGGTCCTCCCGACTTGGAAGACAGGGCGACGTGCATGAGTGGATGCAGTTTCCAATCGACGAAAGACAAGGTAGGATATAATGGTGCGAAAATGTATAGAGCCCCTCCTGCGCCGTCTCGTTCGCGGATTCCAGGTTGTGAGAGATCTGGTTGATCGTCTGGCGGACCCGAGGGTCTCTGGTTCGCATCATCTTGATGATATCCCGTCAGGTATGACGGTCATGCAACGGCGGAGGAGACTTTGTGCGCAAATGCTTCCGTCTGTCCCAAAAAATCACATCGAAGTGGATCGCTGGAAGAAATGATGTCGGCAGTTGGCGGCTTGATCATCAGCCCCATCGATATGTCCATGCGACGTTTAGAATGTGTTGGTTGGGATGTTGTGTGCCTCAGGAATAAAGGCCCGCCTCCACTCTCCGATGTCATTTCCGCACTTGGCTGTTTAGTCAGCAGCACGTGCCATCAACTAAGTATCGTCCATGATCAGTAAATATTTACCAGATTCTAATTCACTAGGATCATCAATCAATCGTCCGTCTCTGACTTTAAAATGGTATATTACATTCGTTTCCTGAAGACTCCTAGATTTCAGAGTCAAAAAGCCGGGTCCGTTACTGTAACTGCGCTCATATGCATCACCACCGACTTAGGAGATGCATTTCTGGCCCAAGATATCGATTTGCAGGTGACATTGAGTCCCAACGGCTCCGGCAGAACCCTGTATAAGGACAATTTACAGTGGAAAGCAGGAAAACGCGAGCTTCCGCTATCCCTAGGTCCATTTTCCGCCGGACTATCCCAGCAGACTATCGTGCTAGGCGTAGCCGCAGTTGACCCTCAACGGCCGAGCCCGCCTAGTCTAGATCATCTGCTCGACACCTCTAAACTCCCTCTAGTCATATCAGGCTGGAGCGCGCCGTTTGGAGGGTCAGAGCCTCTTGTGGCTGAAAAGCTTGTCGAACGACGCTTCCGCCCAAAGAATCAATTGGACCTCAGGATATGGGAGGAGACCGGCAACAGCATTGCCCGGCATATCTGGTGAGGCCTCTGAATCCGTATCTGATTATCATTCTAAGAATATATATCTTGCATCCGTAGGGATGCAGCTATCGCATCGGTAATGTACCTTCAGCAAGCGACGACCAAGATTCCAGGGTCCGCCGCACCTTTGCTCCAGAATCTCCTACAAGGTCAACGCAGCACCCCTCTTCACGCCATTGAATTGGGGTCTGGCTGCGGTATTGTGGGTATAGCACTAGCAGAGCTCCTCTCGCATTGCTCAGTTCTGCTTACAGATCTCCCTGAGGTGGAGGAGATCGTCATGAAAAACATAGCCGTCGCAAGGCCAGCTCCATCGTCGCAGGTCACATTTCAGACACTTGATTGGGATGAAAAGCTACCTGACAATCTATGCAACGGCCGCATTGACCTGATTCTTGTCTCTGATTGCACGTACAACGCGGACAGCCTGCCGGCGCTGGTCAATGTGCTGGACCGTCTAGTCCAGATGTCGCCTGATGCTGTAGTCCTGGTGTCTTTGAAGAGACGACATGATAGCGAAGAGGTCTTTTTCAGCCTGATGGACTCGGTAAATCTTTTTACTTTGCATAAGGACAGCATGCAACTTTCGTCTCAACATGACCAGTTTGACGAGATTGAGCTGTACTGTTATGGACAAAAAGACAGACATTACTCTCAACATGGCAAGTCCATCATGGCGAGCTGAAGACACCTCTTTTTTCGTGATCAATTCATTGTTGGAACAATGAAGAATGAGAAAGTGTTGCCCACCTCGCGGCGAACGTGTCAACTGAGAGGCAAGCCCGGCACATAGTATGCTTGACTCCGGCCAGCTTCTGGACAGGCGTCCCTGGATGACTTGTTTCCGGGTGATTCTGCCAAACCATGCCATTTTCCTCAATTGGCGCTGCCGCGTCTAAGTGGCTAGGACAACTTATTACTCGTCCGAACAAGCAGACAATCCCACCTATACGGTTTAAAGCTGAACATCTACCTCTTCTACATTTGACCACATGAAATTAAGACGCCAGAACTATTGAAGAAGTTCTGGCTTTGGCTCCTTTACGAAGTCGCATTGGGCTACAAAAGTGAAGATGGAACACTTGAATTAGAATACCTTAGTAATGGTGCGGCACAGCGTCTGCGCAATATTCAAAACTTGGACATTCATTTCGTGGTTTTCAATTATCCTGTTCGACGACCATTGTCATGGAATCTTCGGGTTATATCCCTATGCTGTTGTTGTGCTATGCCAGTGCCTGGGTACTGCGTAATTTGACACTTCGTTGTGCAACATGCCCTCCTCCAGCCATGCAATCTGCTCAACAGAAGGCAGCCAAGCTGACAGAAGTCTCAAATGGAAACACCTAATGTCTGGATCGAGAACGGTACTTGGATCCTGTAGATCCCGTGCGGGGTCGAGAACTGGATCGGTTCCAGGATCGTGCATACTCGGACCGCTTCCGTCGCGACACGCGCGGTGGTGTCCCTCGGCTAGTGACGCCCATGATCTCACGATCGACGTTCGAAATGTTTTGTTGTTGCTGTTGCTCATCGTCCGATGGGAAGTCACTCTCTTCATTCGGAGGGTTGGACGGTCGAGATGACATTGCCTAAAGGAGGTGCACAGCTTGTGGATCAACACTATCAAGAATACGCCGGGAATGAGACTGAGATGGTCTAGTAAGGAGACTTGTCGCTTGGGTATCCTTCCGAGGCCCTAGGATCTGATATATCTTGAGCACACGGCCGAAGTGGTTCTGGACCGAGAGCGCCACGGTAGAAGACTTGGATCATGATGACGATTCTGCGATGCAATGACGGAAGATCATGCCTCCTATTCGATGAAGTCATATTATTGATGCTCTCGATCTCAATCGCTTCTGTCCTGCTGTTTCAAGTCGTCCTTTGTTAATCCGCAAGTGAAGCAATCTTCACACTTTTCGACCATGAAGTGTCGCCTGCGAATGCAGACAGGCTTTGCCTATGAGAATGGCTTCCGTGACGTGAGCCTACTAGAGAGCTTTAAAAGTGGCAGTCATATTTGAAGCGACAGCTTCCAAGTTCACTCAAGATCTGTTCAAGGCTAGAATCAGGAGGCACAAAGTCCATGTACCCCAGAGTGATACTATGACGAACACCGAAGTTCATGAGCGGTAAGGGAAGCTCAGTCTGACCTTCCCCGATAATCTGCCTGCTGGCATTTCAGCCGTGAGACCGGTCAGGAGGTGTGACAGGGAGTCCATTGCCTAGTTACCTTATATTAATATCTGGTAGAGTCCATCGGAGCTTTCTTGGACAAATCTCCCGTAATTGGCCGCCAGAATGACCGCACAGAGAGTAGAAAAGCTACTTCCATGCTGTTGTTGGCTGTGTCGCCATCAAGTTTGCTTTCCGTTGGACAAGTCAGTCAAAGATGTTTTAGCACATAACGCCCATAAATTGGCGTACAAGCAGCAGACGGATCACTACTGGATACATAAAATTCGTCTGCTCGTCGCTGATTGCATTCAAGCGAGATAGACGAGGAGTATCCTGAAAGGACTCCATATCCGTACCAGCGGACATCTCCAAGATCTCGGACCCTTCGAAGACCGAAACCAACAAGTCCACTGAGCTGATACTGAACACATCAGTATGCTCTAGTTCCTCAGCACTCGTCAAATCATGGAGGCAGTGAAGCTGGCCTGTTCAAGTATAGTGTGAGGCCAAGACTCGCGGCTTGCAGTTACCTGGTCATGAGAAAAGCGAAGATGCCGACAGACGGCTCTCGTTGGCATATTTCCTCTTCGCATCGCACTTCCTCATTGAGAGAGGAACAATCCCAGCTTTCTTTGACTATGTTCCGGATTCAGCAGCGGATGCATAATTCCCGCGGTCTCGGGATTTGAGAATGCCCCCTCAAACGATTACCAGAGTCTCTAGCAGCGTAGGCATATTCAGAGGGCTGTGGGAAGGGGAAATTCAAGACCTGGAACTGCCGGAAAGTTTGTATACGAGCGTCTGCATCATACAGGAGGAAGTACTTCGTATAGCATCAAGGGTCACTGGACCTCGGCATTTCGGTTGACGATGATGACTCAGCAGCATATGCGGGATCGTGTTTCTGAGCGATGGAATCAAGTGCAACGAGAGTCCATCATTAATTATCCACGGTTAATGAACTATATAGAGAGACTTGTCTGCTTCTAGATCTACTTGACAGAGACGTGGCAGACTGTGTTACCTGACTAGCATGGCCGCTCCCAAGATTACCCTTTACTTCGACATCGTGAGCCCATTCGCTCATATAGCGTTTCATATATTGAGAGTGAGTGATAGCATACTTGCATTGGATGTTCTCAGAGACCGCTAGTAACATTTTCAAAGCACTCTCCAACCTTTGCCAAGTGCGATATTACATATGTGCCCATTTTTCTGGGGGGGTTGATGAAGGCGTGTGAAAATACTCCGCCCATCCGGATCAAGAGCAAGTCATTCTCTAGGTAGGATTTATGCTCAACCCAGTAGCTAATTGTCTCTCCCAGACAAGGCTCAGTGGATCAACCAAGAACGGCGCCGTTGGGCCCGCTACTTCTCCGTTCCCATTGTTGAACGGACACCGGCAGGCTTTCCGCCCCTGACTCTGGCTCCGCAGCGTGCTCTGTGCGCCATCTCGCAAAAGGCGCCGGAACGCTTTGTTCCCGCTATCGAGGCCCTCTATCAGTCCTTCTGGGTTGAAGGAAATGGCCAGATCGGACAGCCTGAGGGGTTCGGCCCCATCCTGGAGAAAGTGCTCGGCAAAGCAGGCGCAGGGGAGATCCTCAAGGCCGTATGTTGATTGATGTTACTTTCGTATTCCTGGCTTTTACTGAACATTGGTAACAGATGAGCCAAGACGAGGCCAAATCGCTCTTGTCGGCCAATACGGATCGTGCATTCAAGTCCGGTGCGTTTGGACTTCCCTGGTTCGAGTGCACCAACTCCAAGGGTGAGACAGAAGGGTTCTGGGGGATCGACCATCTGGGCCAAGTAGCCGAGTTCTTGGGATTGGATCGCAGTCTGGAGAAAGGTTTCCGGGCGGTGCTGTAGCGGGTAGGAGAAAGGGTGTGAAATGACGTCTAGTTTGTCGCTTTGGGACGTTTCATTGTGGTCATTTCGCGGTTCGCCATTCTGATTGCCATTGGTATCGTAGTAAGCCGATCATCAACTGAATGTATGTACATCTGGTTGCTCAGACGAAGCGTCCGCAATGTCATTGCTTCTTCGAAGGCCGCACCGCATCACTCTTGTGCTTTTCCTGCAGAAACTCGGCGATTCTCTCCTTGGGCATCTCATCGATCATGCGAGCTTCTCGCGGATCGCAGCCTGCCTCGTATCAGCTGCCATTGCACAGATATCCAATCGAAAAGCAAAGCAAACGGACCTTCAATCCCCGTACTCTCCTCCACCTGTTTGCTCCCCATCGTGATGGAGGAAGCCAAATCCCGAACCTCCCGCACAACCTCCCCAGTCGAAACCGTATTGGCTTTATTTCTGATCTCATTCATTGTCGTACCCGCCATATTGCTGATATTGTTCCCCAGATCAGCGAGGGAGCTCGTTGTCGTCGAGTACATATCCGCAGTGCCAGTCCCAGTAGGCCGAGTCACGTCACGCCCTTCTTCTGGGGGTTGTTGCGTATCGCGCGTGGAATCCATCTTCAACCATTTAATTAAACAATTGCCAGTCACCAATCGACGAAGAAAATTTTTAGGTGTCGATGGTGTTGCCAATGTTCTGTCGGGTGCACAAACAGTATATGAAAGATATGGGTCCATCGTCGCGCTGATGACATCAACCGCGCGGAGGTTCCAGGATCTCATCATGATTATTATTATCATCCACCCATACACTAAGTCAATCCGTCAGCCTTATGGAACCCCTGGAACGACAGCCGAGTTAGCACAGTGGAGCAACCAGTATTTTATGTGTATGATTCGCCAGTTTGGAATTTTGTTGAACAGGCACGGCTGTCATGGGCCCACGGCTGTTGTCTCTGGCCGACTGGGCTGAAGTCATGGCTGGTCTGCATTAGGCAGCACAGTTTTTCAGTCAAACAGGGAAGATGTTGTGTGCTATTCTTTATGTTCTTTTATGATGTTCTGTGCCCAATTTGCTGGTTCATATTGAAGCATCGATAAGTGCGTAGACGTAGTTCTGCTTTCCTCCATGGAGCCTGGAGACGAAACCCAAAGTCGGCTATATGAATCTGTAGACTCATGGCTGCGAGAAATGTACAAATTACTTCGATCTCTGAGAGGAAGATGTTATAGACAGAGAGGCCTTGTGGGTCCAAGTAGACTTCGTCGAATATATACATTGAAAAGACTCAACCACAATCATCAAGACAGTAGCCATAAGGACTGACAAAGAGAGAACTGGGAAAAGAACTTTGATTCAACACGCAGGCCAACGCTTGTTCTCAGCCGTCTTCCAACTATGCTCTCCTCGCTTCAAACAGACGACCCTGCGAAACAGTATCACTCTGGCAGCCTGAGAGTCTTAGCTGGCGATGAAGATCAAGCAAATGGCTCACTGCCCCCGTTTACGCCTGAAACAGTGCAGGACCAGGAATGGGGTATCCACCGCTCAGACTCGAGTAGATGTCAAAGTGGATGCCAGAGTCAGTGTTCTTGTACAGGGACTCGCCAGCGGTGCCGGTACCCTGAGCACTGCCGCTACCGGTGATCTGGATGTTGAAGCACTGGGGGTAGTTCTGAGCGCCGTTCAGGTTACCGGCAGAGTGAAGGGCAATGATCTCGTGACGGAGGACGTAGTTGCCGCTGGCGTAGGAGGCAGGAATGGTCACCGTCGCCGTGTTGTTGTTGGCGATCAGCTCGTCGCTGGCCCATTCACCAGGTGGGCTGGAGCCGTCGATCAGGCCTTGAGCGGCGATTTTGACGAACTTCAAGGTGGTCTTGTCCACGGAGCTGCAGTCGCCGTTGCACGGAGCAAGGTAGGTAATCACCTAATACGATGTTAGCCTACCTGGTCACAATGTGTTTCTCTTGGGCCTCATACCGGTCCATGGTGAGAGTCTGGCCACGTCGTCCACTGGAATTCGATGTCTGAACCAGCTGTGACGGTTGCGGTCAACGCGCCAGGCGCTCCGTTCCTGTGGCAGATAATATCCGGAGACTGGTAGCCGGTGCCGTCCACGAACCCGAGGTCGGTGGCAGTGGTGGACCAGCCAATTGTGTCTGGGGGATCACTCATGTAGGGGTACTTGTCAACAAGGTACCCTCCGTAGCTGGAATCAGTGTTAGCTGTCGTATCTGTCATTGCGTGGTTCAAGAACGTACTATTTGCCACCAGCAACAATGCCAGAAACATAGCCGTGGCCCGCCACGAGAGAGGCTGAGGCCAGAAGGCTGGCAATAGAAGCGATCTTAGACAAGGTCATTCTCTCTGATGGAAGAAGGTAAACTCCACACAATAGTCGAGCAGCAGCCAATGATTAAAGACCTGCTTGATCAGGGGCGTCTGGAGCTAGAGCGGTTGGGACGAGCACAGAGAACAGAACAGCATAGGACAACGAGCGAGTGCTCATGCCTTTTTATAACCATTCTGAAGAGCTTCGACCCCTATAATTGACAGCAGTGCATGATACGAGTCCCCCACAACCCCTGGAAAGAGTGTCCTGGTGGGTAGCCGGCACGACTGAAGAAATTATCCGGGCCCTCTGATACATGGGCTACTGAACCACCAGATTTGCTTCTTCATCATCGGCAGGTAGAAATTTCAAGAGTAAACCCGGCGCTAAAGGATGCATGCATGCATGGGTGCCATGAATCATTGGCGCTCCACAACCTTGCAACCCGGAAATGTTCCCTGAAGCCGGTCTCTTGGCCTCTGAATGCATGTACCATGCAGCCTGGAACAGTCCCTGCCCTTGGTCTCCTCAGGCTTTGCTGCTGGAACCGTCCAGAAACACCAGACGCATCAACATCCTTCCCCTTGCTCCACGGTGGATGTCGCGCCTTCATCTGGTGGGTACCCTCGATACACCGAGTATCTCTTCTCAACTGCAGTGAAGCCCGAAGACGGACCCCATAGCGACCCATCTGTCGTCACAGTGTGCACAACGCCAGACCATCGTGACAGACCGAGACTTTCCGGTCATCCGACTGCCTAGTCCGCTATCCAGATGTTTCTCTTTGATGATGAGGAGGCGCTGCGCATGCTGCACGGAGCACAGCCAAGGGCTCCCTGTATGAAAAGCGACGATCCCCCAGGTTTTCCCGGACACACGGGCCGACGGCAATATACGAGCCTTTGGCACTGTGCCTTGAGATCCGTACCTGAAACGGTAATGTCGCAGTTTCTTTTGCTGTGTTGGGCCTCCACGACGGCTCAGACCGAGAGCAGGGAGGGCACTGCATATATAAGAGGCTTCATCTGCCAACGATTTGCCGTGCCTTGAAGAGAAATGATTAGCGGTCGATGTCTCAACTACTGTTCTGATTCGAGGATACTTACTTTCATCCACTAAATTTGCCGGCAGGCTCCTTCTGGGCTAGTAAAGCTGGCGCCGGACTTGAGTTGTCGCCCATCGATATCACAAATGAATGCTACAGCAAGTGCATAATTGATTCATCACCCGACGCCAATGAGGTCATTACCGTGCAGACAAAATCCGTATACAAGAATCCTTCATGGCGGACAGGAATAGAGACCTGTTAGCGATGACGATCGTCGTCTTCCTGACTCGCTGAAATTAGAGGGAGGCATTGGAGTCGAGGGGTTGATGTTTCATCAAACCTCTGCCAAGACACAATATAGCCTGAGTCAGTCCACATCTGATACAACATGCTGAAGATCATGGGACGTGAACAATGTACTCGATACTGAAGGAACCGTGAGAATCCAATGAACAAGCGATCTTTCTGGCCCATCTCCAGTCGACCGGTGGTCTGCAACAAGGTGAGACTTGGAGCCCAGCCATTATTGAGTATCTCTAGAGTCCAAGTAGATAGATATACACAGGTCAGAAATCGCACGAAATCTGAACATAGCTGTCAGCAGTCTAGACAAGATCAGCAAGCGACCCCTGCTCGGTTTTCACCGGATGTAGTCAGAGCCCCGTATCGATACCTCTTCAGATGATTATGCCAGTGGTTCAACATCCGCTCTGAGGAGGTAGCGTAGTACCATGCTCCGATCCTTAAGTTCCACACAAAGTGACTGCGTATAATAGGCGTGCACGTCAGAGGGAGAATGAAAGCTATTCTACGTCATATGGCTGAAATCTACAGTGTTTCAAATTGAACTGTTGTGTTCCATCCATGGCGACATAGGCCAAAATCCATGTGTAAAACTACTCGTTTCAGCATGACCGGGAAGCCGAAAATATGTAGAATTTTCAACTGTTTTTCTTCATTAAGTTGTAGAGCCCAGGGAGCACCGACAAAGCAACCCCTGGTGGTAGGTGCAGGTATGTAGGTCGTCTGGCCGATGCGAAAATGCCGTCTGCCCTGACATCTCGACGGATCCGATAACAGACGCAAGAAAAGTCAATTCACCGCATAGGCTGAATTGTCATTCTAGTGTCGGCCCACAAAAGTTCATGCCCATGCCGATTCGCCTTTGATACTTGTTTCCTGCATCGACCGAGCTCAATTCACCCTTTTCCCGTCGATTGAAGGTATTTACAGAGCCTTCTTCTTGTCACCCTTGGACACATCGACAACCTTGAGAGCTGTTGCAAGACGTAGCGTTAGCTTGAAGTCCCAAACAGAAACACGTCTTCTTTTCATTTAAAAGCATTCCTCTCATCACGTCTTTCCCAAAATGGTGATCCGTGGCTGGGGCGATTCGGATAGGAACTTAGGTTGGTAACGCACCTGGGGGCAGGCTCTGCTTGAGCTTGTCGGCCTTGTCGGAGTCCTTCAGGACAAGGGTGTAGATGAAGCGGTGGCATCTGACCTTGAACTTGATCTGCTGGGTCGAGCGGTTGCGCTTGATGCGGGCAGCTGTAAGGTGACGGAAACCAATTGTTAGCATTCATAGAATTCCATCGCTAATTCCTTCCACGGAGCTGAATCCGAGCTCATTCACATCGCTCTCGAACCGGGGAAATCGTGCGCGGAAAACGTACAGGAGGCATCCTTGCGGCGGCAGATCTCAATGAACTGCTTGATATCGGAAACTTCGCGAGGCATGGTGGGCAGGGCTTATGGACGCAAACCGGGTGATCTGAAAGAAAGTCGGAGCAAGGGAAGGAGTACAAGCACTTTCACGAGTCTCGACTGCGGGCGGCTGTGGACGCTTGAGGCAATTGTGTGGGATCTGGCAGATTAGGGTTTAGCCAGTGTGAAACCCTTGGCTGCTGCGCCACACAGACTCATCTGTTGTGGCTGGTGCTCCCAGGCCTAGGCTAACGTCGAGGATGAGAGTGTGTGGCTTGATAACAGTCGGGATACATTTAAAGATTCTTTGTCTGCACAGAGTGATCGGACAGGAAAAAGAGAGATCTATTGAGGAATCCATTGTCGTCGAAGAAGACGGACTGTATCTATCTATCTAGAGTTGCTCTTCCCCTACTTCTGAAGCACATAGATAAAACAGTAAGCCACAAGTAAACTATGGGAGACCATGACAAACAGCTGGCAATTTCAGGAAATCGCAGCATCGGGCTTGTAGAAACTTCACTTCCTTCTATATGCACAAAACCATATGCTCTTTAAGAATTCATGAAATAATGCAGCAAGCGCGGAACCGAGGAGGTGTGGATGCCTGAGGTGTTGATAACCCCGGAATGTGGCGTTGGTGCTGCAAGTGGCGGTGCAGAGTCTAGGCGGCAGCTTTCGAACCATGATGATGGAAGCTTGACTTGTAGCTTCTGTAGCGAAACCACCATTCAACGACAGAAGATAATATCTCACACCTACAATCGACATCTCCCAGACGTGTTTCTCCGCGCAAAAAAGGTCGAAATTCGAAAATATGCCCACAGCTTTAGACCGAGCAATGAACTCCAAAGTGAGAATACCCCAACCTGCTGCATTCAGCCACATTTCAACTGGGTAACCTGCTGATCCATGTCCAGAATCTTGTCCTGGGTATCTTCCCATGGCGGCGTAGACATTGAGGCAACACGAATCAACTGATAGTATGTAGGTTTCGCCGGGATGGTCACAGCTGCCGCAGCGTGGGCAATCTGGGGAAGCGACATGTTCCCGTCCGAGCCAGATCCAACTGGAGGTATGCAAATCGGAATCATCCCCATACCGGAATAGAAGGCTGACTGTGTGACTCTGAGAAGATCCTGAACACTGGACTGCCGACGAGATGCGGAGATGGCTTCGCAATGTTCGTTCTGCTCCTCCTCTCGCTCGTTAAGAATGTATCAACTAACTGGTGGCGATCTGCAGAGAGGTCTCATGCCCACTGAAAGGGCCACACGCGACGAATTACTTGAGCGTGTCAAGGTGAATCTGCGCGTACCGCCGAGATCAACCACCTGATTTTTATGAGTCCCACGAGTGTTGTCTTTGGAGTGGTTTCTGTATTTTCATGGTGTTCTCTTTGCAATCGTTTCGTTATCCAAACCAGCCGAGATACCTAGTCACGCGTGCCTCCTGTCGATGAATAGGCGATAATCGTATTCTTAGTGATTTGTCGAACAAATTGGTATGTCGTACTTAAACATATCGCCTCTTCTCTCTAAAGTAGGCATTAATCAAACGACAAGTCGAAAGTTTTGTGTTTGAATGAGCCACTCTCTCCGGCGTTTTCCTTTGGGAGCATCCGCTGTAGGATTCGGTACCAGAATGAATGTCTCGCTGAAGCCACGCTGCGGTAGATCTCTGGACTCCCCGAATCGTACATAGCCGCTTACTACCACCAATATTGACATGTCCTTGACAGTCGTCTGATTGGGGAGCTTCACGCCGGATGTTGTTGGGGTGGGGTATGTTGGATTGATGACCTGACAATCGAACGACTGCACCTCGAAATGAGCAGGGGGCATCTGGTTGACGAATATCTCTTGGACGGCATTGCCATCCGCGACAGCGTTTCCGTTGAAGAGGATGGTAGAGGTAGGCTGGCTGTAAAATGAGGCGATTGCTGCGCGATTGGACTGTAGCGCGGGGTAGAAGGATTGGACAAATTCGGTGGCAGCTGGAAAGACACAGTCAGACAGGAACGAGATTGTTGGCAGGGCCAATCATACCATCCGTCGAAACTCTTGTGAGTACATCTTCACTTCGAGTAGTCATTTTGACGACAGATTGAATAGTCAATCTGGACGTAAATTCCGCGAGCTTTGGTTGATGGGATACGCGACAACAGTCTCGTGTACAACAGCGATGGCGACACCAACGTTGACCATAAGGTATTGGAGTTTCTGGAGGACACTATAGAGGTTCAAGTCCCCTAAAAAATCGTGTTGTAAACAGGAACCGACGTTAAGAACTGGCACAGGTGAAAATTTGCAAGGTATGTATCGGAGATCGGACGGTGAAGGGAAAAAAAAAGGTACTACGGAGCTAGGACCACCGGGAGATTATGAGCTCCGAAGAGTCAATCCGCATGACATATCGTCTTCCATAAACAACTTCATCTTCACGTCACTTTTGCTTCCCAATGGCTTTTTCTAGGGGTGGCTTTCGGACGCTTTCATGGGCCAGTCAATTCCTAGCCCATAAGCGTCCATCGTGGAGATGTGCTTCGTGCAGAAGTCCTGCTCAGACCATTTCTCCGCGCCGATTCGCAACAAGAACTTCCGAGCAAAACTCAAAGAAGCCATACTATGTGACGACTCCAATATTCTATGTGAATGCCGGTACGATTCTCTATTAGGTCTATGCGAATTCACTGTTAAATCCATTACTGATGGGATCGGTTTCCTGAAAGCCCCCCATGTTGGTCATTTCTATACTATGGTGATCGCCGACATTCTGAAGAGATGGCGGGTACTTCTTGGAGACAAAGACGCTCAACTGTTGACGGGAACCGACGAACATGGGATGAAGGTATCTTCTGGTGTTGGATCTGGGGCTGTCTCACGCGGTTAACTTGGCGAAATAGATTCAGCAGGCTGCGAGCGCGGCAGGCATGGACACTCAAGCCTTTTGTGATATGAACTGCAAAACCTTCCAGGTCGGTCGCGCTCACCTTGCAAACTCTTCCAAGAACTTCTACTTAGAATGATGACAATACGTTTCAGGCGCTAGCAAAAGCCGCAAATCTGGACTACGATTATTTCATACGAACGACCGACACGGCACACAAGGAGGCTGTTCAATACTTCTGGGTACGTCGGAAATGCTGCTAGCTTTTCGCTCCGCATGCTGACTATGGGAAAGGAAATGTTGAACCACCGGGGCTATATTTACACTGCAAAGCATGAGGGATGGTATTCGGTCAGCGACGAAACGTTCTATCCCCCAACACAAGTGCAGAACTCCTTGGATCCCTCTACTGGAAGGAAGAGAATGGTATTTGGTCCTAGAAGCTGAATTTTATCAGATGTGCAACCACTCACTATGTCAGGTTTCAGTTGAGACAGGGAAAGAGGTAGAATGGTCCTCGGAAACCAACTACCACTTCAGACTGTCTGCCTTTCAGGAGCGCCTTCTGGAGTTGTACAAGAGTACAGAGTTCATCACACCTGGTAACTATATGGCAGACCTCGTCAAGTCAGTCTCCTCGGGACTATCCGATTTGTCGATCTCTAGGCCCGTAGAGCGATTGACCTGGGGCATTCCTGTGCCGGGCGATGAGACACAAACGATCTATGTCTGGCTGGATGCTCTTGTCAATTATTTGACTAAGGCTGGGTACCCATTTCCTCCTGGCCAGGAGGGCCGACTGGGTTGGCCAGCCGATGTGCATGTCATCGGCAAGGATATTGTTCGGTAAGTTATTTCTCCTCGTGACGGGCGGGACGAAAGGTTGACACCAGTGTCAGTTTTCATTGCGTTTACTGGCCTGCTTTCCTCATGGCGCTGGATTTGCCTCTACCTCGTAGGGTCCTCGTTCATGGTCACTGGACCATGAACCGGGAAAAGATGTCGAAATCGACCGGAAATGTGGTGAATCCGTTTTTCGCGATTGATCGGTTTGGCGTCGACACCATGCGTTTCTTCCTTGCCTTCCAGGGTGGACTAGCGGGGGATGCCGACTATGACAACTCCTACATTATCCGTGACTACAAGAAGATGCTCCAATGGGGCATTGGAAACCTAGCACACCGGACAATTGGTTGTGCAAAGGGTAACCTGCGGTCGTACATCGCGGACGCAGCCGCCGACAAGCTGCCCGCCGCGACTCGAGAAGATCTGGAGCATCAGTCGCTTCTGGAGCAGACACCTAATAGAGTGGCGGAACAAATGGAAAAGTTAAACCCCCGTGCCGCCTTGCAGGATATCATGGTGATCATCGAGAAGGTCAGTGCCATGAGTCCATCGCGTAACCACTAAACACGATCATCACAGACTGACATCCTTTTCGTTATCCTTGATTGCAGACCAACAAGTATTTCCATGCAGCAGAGCCATGGAGAAATCCAGCCAACTCACAGCGAGTGCTATACAATGTCGCCGAATCTCTACGAATCTCCGGTATCCTATTGCAACCTTTTATGCCCAGTAAGTCTAACGAACTTCTCGATATTCTCCGTGTAGACGAGACAGAGCCGTCGAAACGGAGCTTTTCGGCTGCACGGTACGGTTGTGATCCAGACTACGGTGAGGGTGTCAAGAAGAGTATTCTTTTCCCCCCTCTTATCATCGAAGAATGATGGAAGGATAAGTTTTCGTTTGATAAGAAGAAAGGATCACAGTCCAATCACACAGAAAGATGATGAGTCTCTGCTTCTCCGCCAACGCAAGGGTGAAGTAAGACACTTTTCCGTCACCTGCTAGTGGAGCTGGGCTGCAAGGCTTGTTATCCTACCACGATCATCACCATGTATAGAGGAGACAAAGTTTGTGTTATGTCATGGGGTACGGAGCTTATGGATCCTCTTACGCATGTCCACAAGGTTATCAGCGGGAAAAGAAGTTCCAGAATCGCGACGCTGAACCCCGAACACATCTCGGACGGAAAACTTTGGCCCTTTCCCGCGGCAAACCTCCTATCATGGCAATCGGGAAGTATGCCCCATTGTATATCAGAATAACTGGTGTTTTGGAGTCATATAATTCATGGATAAGCAGGAATGGGGTTGTACTATTCTCTCATGTTCTATCTTGACTTTTGATCTCAAGTGTGGTACTAGACCTCGTTTTTCCCCAGCTTTTTGCGTTCCTCGGTACCTCTTATACTCCGCTCTGTTTATACTACTACCAACCCAACTTACGAATCGGACTGTATACAATTCTTTTCAATTGTGCTGTTCTGTCTTTTCCTGGGTCCCTTGAGCAGAAGTGAAATCTCCGGTCTTCCACCATGGGCAGCATCTCACCTGAAGAAGCGAAGCTCAGCTTCAAGACGCCATGGGTGGAGACCCCCCTTGTGGAATCAGCCTGTCTGTCTCGTGCAGCAGGCTGTAGGATCTTCTTGAAACTCGAGAATGTTCAGCCCAGCGGATCGTTCAAGTCCCGTGCAATGGGCAACCAGATCCTCTCGCACCTCGTCAAGCCGGAAAACGCTGGCCGGCCAGTGCATTTCTATGCTTCCTCGGGGGGCAATGCCGGCCTGGCTGCCGTCTGTGCTGCCCGGAGCTTGGGTTACCCTTGCACCGTGGTTGTGCCTCTCTCAACCAAGCCCTTGATGGTGAACAAGCTACGTGCGGCGGGCGCTTCGAACGTTATCCAATACGGAGAGACCTTCTCTGAAGCTGGAGAGTACATGCGCGAAGTGATTATGAAGGGAGAAAGGGGAGATGCCGGGGAAGATGTGGTCAAGATTGCCCTCCATCCCTTCGACAACGAGCCCATCTGGGAGGGAAACAGCACGATCATCGATGAACTCGCTGCTCAGCTGCCGCCGGTAACAACCAGAGAAGAAGCTATCGCCTACAATGGTCGTGCTCTGCCACTGGACGCGGTGATCTGCAGTGTTGGTGGCGGCGGACTGCTTAATGGTCTTGTCATGGGCCTAGAGCGACGGAGAAATTTACAAAAACAGAGCTCGCACTACAGCAACGGCATCACATCCTCCCAACCGGACCCCATCCACCTCCTCGCCATCGAAACCCAAGGCACAGACTCCCTCGCCCTTGCTGTCGCCCAGAAATCCCTCGTCTCTCTCCCCAAGATCACCTCCCAGGCTACCTCGCTGGGCGCCATCCGCGTCTCGGAACGTACATTCAAATACGCCATCTCCCCTCCACCTGGCATTGCCGTACACAGTGCTGTCCTCTCAGATGACGATGCCGCTCGGGGCGTGCTCCGTCTCGCGGATGATGAAAGACTGCTGGTGGAGTTGGCGTGCGGTGTCTGCGTGGAGGCAGCCATCGGCGATGCGGCCAAGGCACGCGCCTCGGGATCAGCAAGCACATCCTCGGCAGCCGAGCAGGCAGCACTGACAGGGAAGAAGCGGAAGAGGACACAGGCGGAGTTCTCCCAACGGGATGAAGGGTACGGTGATGACCGACTGTCGTCCGGAGAAAACGAAACGGAGTCGGAAGAGACGGGCAGTCAGCCTCAAGCACATCCTACTGAAAACACATTGTCGCCGTCGCACGAGTTCCAATCCAAGCTGAAGCAATTGGTTCCGAACCTGCAACCGGATAGTCGAGTGGTGATCATCGTCTGCGGGGGCAGCAATGTCACGATTGACATGGCGGCAGAGTGGAGGAAGATGCTGCAGGAGGGTTGGGGGCAGTAAATCAGTTCTTCCACAGCAAAAGATACACTATTACCATTAATAACGGCTACGAATTTCTTGATTGACGAATACGTCTTGCTACGGTTATGGGACTTTGATTTTTGGAGTACTCGGGATTGTTTTACAACTAGAATTTGAATTGACACTGAAAATATGCACTCATCCTTACTTCCTTTTCTCCCTCCTATCTTCCCATCCTCCTCCTGCCTCAACGCTTCCCTGTCCAATCGCCAAGTCAATCATCATTTAAAAATCACTTACAGAACACAGTTCCCTCTGCCTAATATTTTAATTTGCTCATCTTAATGGGGCCTCCTCCCCTACCACCACCCGCTAAGCCTGATGGGCCTCGTGCAGCAGTGAACGGGCCAACAAAGAACTAAAATATTTCTACTGTCATTGCTTAGTTGCAGCGTCGACGGTTCAGTGGCTGATTGCTACGGGTGACACATCCCCTAATCAAGGTAGGCATTCAGATATAATACTGGGGATTAAGTGTCGAGAAAGACGGGCCGGCTGATCATATCCACTCTGGGTGGCCGTTGCATGCAGTCATGCACTATACAGAGTAAGCATTTGCTTGTCATCTGCTGCAGACTGTTGGTCCAGGCGAGTCGATGGAAAGGGAAGCCCAGATCATCCAAATTACCCCTCTTCCAGCCCTGATTCTCCCCTACTCTCCGGCCAACTTGTCGGAGGACTGCAGGAGAGATCGCTTGGTCACACTCGTGGGATGTACCAGTGACCAGGGAGTCAGGGACATTGCTGTGGAGAGTGGGATTCTGCCCCAGGGGGAGGTCTTCTGTGCGCCAGCGAGCGGAGATATCTACTCTTTATATCCCGCTCTGCCACGAACGAGAACGCGGTGTCTCTTCCTTTCCGGGTCTAAGATTCCACTCGGGATTGTTCTGCTCTCTTCTCATCGATTCCAAAATGACATCTGCAGGGGTTCCGTGGCAGGAACTAGCCCGTCAAGTCCAGAAGCGTCGCGACAGCTCGATTGCTGAACTGAAGCTGAACTTGCCAGTCCCCTCGGCAGCATCCCCCAGGGTGATTCCTCTTGCAAGGCAGCTTCTCTCTGGTGCCGAAGTGGCGATCACCGAATCATCCGCCTCATTCCTGTTGTCCTCGCTGGCGCAGGGGAGACTGACTGCCACCGAGGTCACCAGCGCTTTTCTCAAAAGGGCGGCGATAGCGCAAAGTCTGGTCGGTGCAATCTCGTCTTACTGGGGAGACCACCCCTACAGGAGCTGAGCTTGTGGCAATACCCAAACTCATGTGGACTTCTAGGTGAACTGTGTCCATGAGCTCTTGCCGGCACGAGCCCTTGCACGAGCCGAAGAGCTAGACGACTTCTTTGCGCTGAATGGGAAAACAGTCGGTCCACTACACGGCCTTCCCATCAGTATCAAGGCGCATATGGGTGTGAAAGGCTCCGATTCTAGTGCTGGATTTGTCGCATGGGCCGGACGCACCTTCTTAGACGATGCAGAACTGCTCAAGATTCTACTAGCTGCGGGTGCGATCGCATACGTACGCACGACCGAGCCCCAGGCCCTGGTATGTTGCATCCGTCGCCTCATCTCCTGGCGCTAACCTACGAGGGTTTGTCTACCCGTCTAGATGATGTTAGAGACGAGCAGCAATATCACCGGGGTTACCCTCAATCCTCACAATACCGCTCTCACGCCAGGTGGCTCTTCGGGAGGAGAGGCGGCCCTTCAGGCATTATACGGCAGTCCTCTGGGGGTAGGAACCGACATGGGTATGTCGTCGCTCAGTTTCCCCTCCCCGCTTATACATAGTGCTCACTGAAGGACAGGGGGTAGTATACGCTCTCCGGCCGCCAACTGTGGGATCTACGGCTTCAAGCCTACCACATTTCGCCTTCCACTTAGAGGTTTTGCCGCCTACAATATTGGAGTCGAAACGATATGGGGTACGCCCGGTCCGTTGAGTCCGACTCTGGATGGGATCGAGCTTTTCATGGAAACGGTTCTAGCTGCGGAGCCATGGCGGTCTGACCCCAGCCTGCATCACATTCCCTGGCGCGCGGCGCCAGCGTCGATAGATGCCAACAGAGGAGGGAGGCTGAGAGTGGGTATTCTCTGGGATGACAACATTGTGACACCACTTCCTCCCGTGACAAGGGCGCTGAAGGAAGTTGTAGAGAGACTGAATTTGGTTCCTGGTGTGGACGTTGTCGAGTGGAAACCTTACAGACATGAAGAGGGAATGGAGATTCTGGTGAGTCGTGTCTGCCGTCGTACCCCTCTGTGGCATCTTCAGTCTCTAACTGGTTGAACAGAAAGGGCTTTATTCCCCCGATAAGGGCAAGGCCCTTGCATCGCTGTTGGCCACCTCCGGAGAGCCCATGCATTCTCTTACAGCCTGGACAACCAGGGACACCCCAGGGATCAAGGAACTGGACCTCCCCGGCCTGTGGAACTTGCTGAGAGATCGGGAGGCCTATCGCTATGACTATCTTCAGGGTGAATTGGTTTCTCTCCGTTCAAAAGAGTCCCCTGACGGTTAACATGTTCTTTTGACAGAATGGAATCGCTTGGCGCCGGATATGGACGTGATCCTATGCCCGTGCCATCCAAGTCCCGCCCCTCTGTTAGATACGTCTCGGTACTGGGGGTACACCTCGATCTGGAATCTTCTCGACTATCCCGCTATCGTGTTCCCCGTCACTCGGGTTGACCCCGAACGGGACGTCAGCCCCAAGGACTACACTCCCAGGAACGACATGGATCGTTGGTACCAGGAGCATTATCATCCAGGGAAGCAGCAGGGAGCACCCATCAATCTGCAGCTGGTGGCTAAGAAAATGGAAGATGAAAAGGTGGTCCAGGCCCTTCGATACATCAAGGAAGCCATTGGATTGCCCTTTGTCAACTGCCTGAATGAGTGAAACAGAACCCCATAGGACCTAGAGTAGCGTAGCTTGAATCAATGCCTTGCTCGAGAGATGGTCACCTAACTGGACAATCCGACATGCACGCAATTGCATCAGAGGCAATTCACACATGGACATGGTAGGTCACATTCGTATGAGGATCTGACCCCTCTCCCCATCTTTTATGCCCAATTGGAAGGCGTGCAGGAAGACGAGGTGTCCATCCTTGTCGCGGCCCCGGGGTTTTTCCCTTTATCTCTTTTGTCGTTCGTTCTCTCCTCTCCTCCTCCTTCCTTGCTTTTTTTTATTCTTCTATTTCCTCCTTCTTGGTCCTATTCGGTTTGGTTATCCAGGGGCACAATATGACAACCACATGCGAAGTGCAGCTGGACTCACTCGAACAGCTAACGAGGCCCTCTGTGTCCTCCATCGCAGCCTCTGCCAGAGAACATTCCGTCCAAGGCGAGCATGCACCCCCAGTCTCAGCCGTCGCGGCTCTCGAGCGATGGAATGCCCCGCGAGCCAACATCGGCCGTACTTTGGCCGCCTTCTGGAGCTTTCTCATGTTTGGGATGAATGATGCCGCCTATGGAGTAGGTCTTCATGCGTCTGCTCTGGGCCATATCACTAACAGAGAATAGGCATTACTTCCCTATGTAAGACATGATTGGCTAGCACAAGCGTCGTTTAGAATCATGGGTTACTGACGGGGCCACCAGTTGGAATCTTTCTACGGTCTCTCCTACACCATTGTTTCCCTTGTCTTCCTGTCCCCGCTGGTGGGATACATCCTATCTGCCAGCTTCAATCATCGCATCCATGTCGCCTTTGGCCAACGAGGGGTTGCATTCCTGGCTCCGACGTGTCATCTGGTGGCCTACGTGGTCAATTGTCTCCACCCCCCTTACCCGGTGTTGGTGATTTCCTTCATCTTCGCGGGATTCGGCAATGGAATTGCCGACTCGGCGTGGAATGCCTGGATGGGGAACCTGGCCAATGCCAACGAGACGTTGGGACTGCTACATGGTGTTTGGGGCTTGGGGGCTGTCATGAGTCCTCTGATGGCGACCGCCATTGTGACCAAGGCGCATCGTCCGTGGTACTATTATTATTATGTCATGGTAAATACAACTCCAGGAGCCTCTCGACGGTGCTTGCTCTTTCTGAATACTTATTTTCCCCTAGATTCCATGTGCGGCTATCGAGTTCGTTACCTGTATGGTGTGCTTTTGGTCATTTACCGGGGCCAGATTTCGCCAGACAGTCGCAGCAGCGCATGGAAATCACCAGGGAGGTCTCAAGGAGGCCTTGTTTTGGCGTCCCTATGCCCGTGTGACATGGCTCTGCGCCATCTTCCTGATCGGATACGCTGGCATCGAAGTGGCTCTGGGCGGTTGGATTGTGACCTTCATGATGGGGGTCCGCAAAGGAGGCGCCTCTGCCAGCGAGATGACCGCCACAGGTTTCTGGCTGGGGATCACCTGTGGCCGCATGCTTTTAGGGTTCGTCACTCCTCGCATTGGGGAACGGGTCGCGATCTCGGTTAGTCCATGCCTTCTCTCTTCCTGCCGCTTTGGGCCTTCCCCGCTGAGGCCTCCACTCACCCAGGTCTACATCATGCTCTCGATTGCATGCGCGTTGGTTTTCTGGCTCGTTCCTCAGTTCTACGTCTCAGCGGTGGCCGTCTCGTTCCAGGGATTCTTCCTCGGTCCCTTGTTCCCCGCCGTAGTGGTCGTGACGACCAAACTGCTCCCGCGATACCTCCACGTCAGTTCGATTGGATTCGCAGCAGCCTTTGGAGGAGGCGGGGGGGCAGTCTTGCCCTTTGCAGTGGGGGTGATTGCTCAGAGTAGAGGGGTGTGGGTGTTGCAGCCATTCATCATCGCACTGTCCGTGGCGATCCTGGTCCTGTGGTTAGGCTTACCCCGAGTGGCCAAGGTCCATCGCCCGGAATAGTTGACTGCACTGCTCCGGTCCTCTCCTCTCTCGTACGCTGCAATCTGGGAAATGGCCAAAACACAATTAACGGCTAGGCCTATGCCAGGTTCAACACACTGGATAGGCAGATGGAGGCAACGGAATTCCTAGCCTACATTGAAAGAACATTACGCAATACCCAGAGCCGCTGTAGTATCAAACTATGTACATTGGAAACTAAAGAAACCCAAGAACTTTGACTCAGTTAGGTAGAAATAATACAAAGCATTGTATTCGAACCACCGCAAGAAACATCTCAGATCAAGCAGAGGCAGATATCTCCGTACCATGTGTCGAAGGCGCCGTGATCTGCCGGATCCGATACTCCCAGTAGTTCCTCCGAATAGGGTCGTACTTCTCCTTGAGAAGAGTAAGCATCTTGACCGCCTCGGCTGCACCTCCTTCCTCAGACGATGCGCTTTCGCCTTCCTCCGCGTAGACGTCTGCCAACCACTCCACTGCATGGCTACTTTTGACCGCAACATCCACCACCTGACCATTCTCCTGCTTTTCGACCACGAATCTCCGTGCGAAATCCTTCCACTCTGACAGTGGTCGGCCGGCCGCATGGAGTACTCCGCGCGCGTACGACCATGGACTGCGGTTTTCAGGAGCTTTGAGGATTTTAGTCTGCGAGTACTGCAGCTCCGCATCGACGAGATCCTCGTCAACAACTGGCAAGCGGCCTTTTTCCGACGATGGTCCCGTGGTATTGTGTAGACCGGCATCATGCTCGTTTTCATCCCGCGGTCCAAAGCGGAGCATGTACCGATGGTTCCAGGCGGAATTGTTCCGGACGTCAGATTGCAGGAGCGTCTCCACGTCCTGGATCTCACGCGGATAATCCCAGAGCTTGAAATGCCGGACGAGCCAGTGGCGGTATGTCCAGACGTGATAGTTCTTGGCGTCTTGGGCAAACATCTCCATCAGAAAGTCCAGCTCTCTGGGTGGAAGAGTCGGAAATTGAGCCCGTGAAGACATGAGAACTTGGCGGTGGTGCCTGTTGACGTGCGTCAGATGGATGCGAGGGATACAATAGACCGAATAGTTACCATATCTGGTAGTTCTTGAGATGCTTCAGAGCGACTTTGTTGAGCCATTCAATCTCCTCGTTGAGATCTTTTCCGAGGGCGAAAAGATTCTTAGCCCGGTATATCCTATACACCAGGTATTAGTCATTGTGAAGTCATTTCAAGGCTGCGGCGGAAGATAGACTGATCTTACCAAACGGTGTAATGCGCTGGGTTCATAGAGATGATGTCTTCTGTCAGTCTCAGCGCGCGCTCAGACATCTCATTGGCGGCCATTACAGCTCGCAGGTAAGAAGTAGCCTCGAGATATTCGGGGGAATAAGCAATAGTGGCCAGGGGCATGGCGCCAGACTCGCTGCCATCATTGAGCTCAATGGGCTTGATAGATGCCCACTCCGGGTCCGACGAGTACTTTCCCTCCATTCTGGGACAAGATAATGATTGGTGTTAATTTGAGCAAGTGAACTGAAGAAACAGGAGCACACAAGAAGGATGGATGCTGTTCTGGATTGTCCGGGAACGAGCCCAGAAACACCCTGGCAATGTTAGAGTTTCGCTTTAATGCAGAAGCATGCAAATCATTCAATCAAAGTGAAGTACCTATCCAGTAAAGGGCCGTGTTGAGCTCCTTGGAGAAGGCTCACCTTGTCCGCAGTCCGTTTCCACAGACAATCTAAGTTCTCCCTCGTCAAATATCCGGTGCGCAACCAATTGATTCCAGGTTAGCAGGGTCTATAAATGTATTTAAGAGGTAGAAATGATCAGAGCGAAGAGCGCGGTAGAAGGAGGAAATTCATCTGGAAAACAACGATAAGAATAAGATCATAATCATAGGATAATTATGGCGGAGTGGGGTTGTGGCAGCCTCAGGCGGCGAACCCGAACAATATCAAGACAACAATATCAAACATCCTTCCTTTCTTCCTCTCTGCTTTCCTCATCCACAGCCACGACTCGTCTGATGATTCTTTCTTCTTTGTTCGCAGCAATCGGACTGCATATACGGAAATAGGTCGAGTTAAGCGAGTTGTCATGGAGCCCTACGCTCAGGTAAGAACAACGAACTTCATCCTTTTTGGTTGTCATGTGCGTTTCTGGTCGCTGAGATGAAAGAGATCCCCCTGTGGCACTCCTTGCATCGAATGCTTTTATCTGCTTTCGCAGGGATCTGCGAACAACTGTTGGTACAAACGCTGTTTTTTGTTGCAGTAGCAATGCTGACCTGTTCCTTGTTTGACCAGTTTCCATTCACCAGTCCAAATGATCTCATCATCAAGCTAGTTGCTACCAAAGGGACTTGTGCCACCACCGGAAAGCAGGGGATCAATGAAGCGACATGCATAGTCCTGAGAAACTTCATGATTCATATACTTCCCTGATAGCCTTCAACTTAGCCCAAACAGGCAAACGTCCCAACTGGTCTCTTATTGGACGCCGCCTGCTGATAAGCACAGGGTTTCCCCGCACTCTCTCAGCCAGTGACCTATCTATTATTATCTTGTCCGGATGACTTGCTTTCCTTTGAGCGATAACGGGGAGATTCCAAGTCGCTCCCAACATTCTCTCAATGACAACCTATCCGCTTTGTCGTTGTCTCCGCCGATGAGGTTGGATCTCGAATCGTTATGCGACGAGTCAAGAAGTCCCGCAACGGTTGTGCTAGGTGTAAGAGCAAAAGGGTGAGTATATCTTCAACCTATTCCCATCACATAGATCCTCGACTCTGTCAATGAAATGATGTATTATCATGACTGAACATTGCGATAGGTCAAATGCGGGGAAGAAAAACCACACTGTAGCCGATGTACCCGTCTAGGGGTGAAGTGCCCCGGATATGTTCAATCTTTGCGCTGGGTGACCAAGTTTCAAGAGCCCGACAATGATCAAACGAGCATTTCTGAAGCATCCGTATCCAGGTCAATTCAATCTCCAGATCGGCGACCTTCAACTTCACCCAAAACGCCAGTCTTCATCAATTCATTGCCACAGGTCCCGTTGGCCCTGGAGAGTAGCAGCTTGAATTCGAATGGTCCACCAGAACCTTCCGAAACAAGAGCTTCGGAAGGGAATGGCGGCAGTGTCTTGTGTGATAATCTATGGGATCTCCAGAGCACAGGCTCTCTGCCTGAGTTGACAGATCTTTGTCCTCCGTCACCAGCGTCAGCATCGCCTGCCATATCAGTGCCACGACGGGACAGCTCGGTACTTGACTTCGGACCGCCAACGAATGTCACAAGCTTCTTTTCATTAGCAGCACCAGTGCTTCAGGATAGCTCTCATCATTTTCCCGATTTCTCGCCTTCGACGATCGTCCGCACATATCTTTCGTCCCATCCAAAGCCGCCTCCACACAATTTGACCTCGATCCCTCAACCGTTGAACAACCCCTCTTGGACCTTGATTGAGTATTACTTCAAGGAGGTAGCTGCTCTGTTCTCTAGCTATGACAGTCAGATGAACCCATTCCGGTCGACTGTATCACGTCTCTGGGGCTCCTCTCTGGCCATGTGCAAGACTATGCAAAGCATGGCAGCAGCCACCCTGGTGAACGATTTCCCGGAATTCGGCCCCTTGGGACAACGCATGCGCAACGAAGCAGTGGAGATCATTTCCAAAGAGACTACCATGGACGACAAGTCCCTCCTGGCACTGCTTATGCTGGGCCAGACCGCCAGTTGGCACGATTCCAAAGATTTGGGCGTCTCCTTTTTCAACCTACTTCGGAAGCATCTGGATGTCAAGGCCGCCGAAACTCCCAGCCACAATCGCGGTAATAACCACCAATTCTTCGAGGAGGCTCTCATCTACTGGGAGATGCTTCTGTCGTTTGTCGCGGACGACTCGGCCGTGTTGTCCGGGAAATCTGCCTCGGGGATAGGTGAATCAGTCGTCCTGCAGCGGGTGCCCCATCCTTGGACGGGGATCGCCCGCGACACCCAATTCACCGTACAAGAAGTGGGAAGATTAATTCGCGCGGAGAGGAAGAGAGTTCGCGCCAGGAACTTCACCTCCCAGGCAGACATCGACCGAGCGCAGATGGCCATTACCAGGGCTCGAGAGCTGGAAGAAAGACTGCTTGGCCTCGCTCATCCCACGGAGGGCGAAATCGTCAGTCCCGGCGACGATGAGACACCAGTCTGGCATCTTCTCACCATGGCTGAGGTGTACCGCTGTACAGGCCTCCTGCAGCTGTACAGAGTTTTCCCCGATCTACTTCGCCGTCGACTTCCTTCCAATCAAACGTCGTCTTCACAGACAGACCAACAACCATCCGCTACTGCTCCACGCGATCCTTTCTTCTGCTTGGACGCCGACCTAAATCTCGAGAGCATGCCCTGGTTCTCCGACTCTCCCTTCGCACCGCCGGAAAGTAATGTGCCGTCCGAACCAGCAGCATCAAGCACAACCGACTCAGATTCCTATTACACCAGCTGGCTGACCGAATTCGCACTCACCACTCTGTCCCGCCTCAAGACCATTCCACTCGAATCCCGCACCAGATGTCTCCAACCATTCTTGCTCGTCGCGTCAAGTAGCGAACTCCGCCTGCCGCGTGTAACGCCGTCGGAGATCCCTCTAGACGTAGATGGCCCCCATCTCTCGTCGCATGCCATCGAGGTCTCCAGGACGCGCCGCTTCGTTCTCGGACGGTTGACCTCCTTCATGCATGTTCTGCCTCCGAAGCCGATCAGCGTCTGCCTTCAACTTGTGCAAGAGGTGTGGAGACGAATGGATGCCGGGGACTGTAACGTATACTGGATGGATGTCATGATTGAGAAGGGCTGGGAGACGACGATGGGCTGACAGCCTTGGGTGAGGGTCACATGGCTCTGATGGGGAGATTCGAGCGATACCCAATTAACGATATTTCTACGATGTTGTTCAATGGGCTGTTGAACATATGACTGCCAATTGCGTTGTGTCCAGGTGTTTGGGAACCATTGCACCATTAGATGTGCTTGTGTAACTGTAAATTATGGCAATTCATGGCTATCTCATGCGATTCCCTGGATCTCTAAGTTCGTTCAGCGCTCAATCCTCGACATTAATGCTCCCATGACGGTCTTAAAACTCAACCTTCGAAGAATGGAGTGCTTAAACAGGAAGTGACGAAAGAAGCGAAAGACGAAAAAGAAAAAGCGCCATGGAAGAAGAGCAGGCACCATCATAAACGACCAATGAAAAATAATACAAAAAACGAAGATATAAGATCTTGGCGGAATGAGAATGCTTAGAGAAAATCGCTGATTAAAGGCATATCATGCAAAGGTTCCTGTCGCATACGGGGGGAAACGTGCCGAAATTTTTGGAAAGGAAGAAAAAGGGATGCAAAGTATTCGATTGGGCATCATGAGAAACGAGGCGACCGTTTCCAGAATTTCCATCCTTCCCGCTTCTCCTGGACGCCGACGCCCACGAGACGCTCGATCCCCTCGGTGCCGACTGCGTTCTCGAACTTCTGCTGGTCAATCTCCTCGCCACCTTCTTCGTCGGTGCCGTTGCGAAGCACAGCCGGCCAGAGAACACCGATGCCGTCGCCTCCCAATGTCGTCTCGTACTTTTCGAATCCTTCGGCGGAGAGCTTCTCTTCGAGGTCGCGGACAGCCTCCTCTTTGATGTCCGGACGGAGAAGCGTGATTGCGCACCCGCCGCCTCCAGCACCGGTCAACTTTGTCCATCCAATGTCGGCGTAGTCGACTAGCTCGCGGATCCGCTCCAAGCGGGGATGCGAAACACCCAGCGATACGAGGAAGCCATGGTTGATGCGGATCAGGGTACCCAGGTCCTCCAGCGTCCGGTCTGAGATACCTTTGGTGTTGATTTCCTGGATCGTCTCTTGCGCCGCTAGGGTCACCTTGTCGATCGCGTCCAGGATGGAGTCGGTCACGACCGGGTGTTCATCCTTCAGCTTGCCCACCTTGGCCACTTCGGCGGCGGTTGAGCGGGGTTGTCGTGTGTCGACGAGAAGCAGAGGTAGTTCGGGGAAGTTCAGGAGCGGAGTGACGGTCGGTGGCTTGGAGTAGTCCTCTCGTCGGAACACCACGGCCTTGCCGCCTGCGGAGACCGTGTTGTCCACACCACTGGGGTTCCCGTGCGTGCACATCTCCCCGACGAACGCCCAGCGATTGATGCGCTCGATCTGCACCTCCGCCTCATCGGGAGGTTGGTCGGGATGGGGACCGGCGAGGGTACGGATCTGGAGAAGGAGCGCAGCGCTCAGACAGACGCAGACGCTTGCGCTGCTGCCGAGACCGGCGCCGATGGGGATGGTGGATCGGAGGGTGTAGATCGCTCCGGGGTGCTGCGGCGAACCCAGAGAAAGGAACAGGTAAAGGAACGCGGACGCGGATCGGCGATGGATCTTGCGCACATCCTCTGGTTTTCCTGGAGACACGGCATCGACGTGGGGCTGGATTGCGGCG